CCCAGTCCAGGAGCATGGGAGATTTTTTCCACATCCTTAAATCTGTTTTAATTTCCTTTTTTAGGTTTATAAAGTTTTCATCATAGAGGTCCTTCACCTCTTTGGTTGTTAATTCCTATGTATTTTATTATTTTTTGAGGCTATTTCCTGATTTCATCCTTATCTTTTCATTGTTGGCATACAGAAAAGCTACTTATTTTTGTGCATTAATATACCTTGCTACTTTGCCAAAATTTTGGACCAGCTTGAGTAACTAGGGAGAGGATTCGATGGCTTCTTAAAATAGAGGATCATGTCACCTGCAAAGAGGGGAGAGTTTTACTTCTTCTTTCCCTATTTGGATCTTACTGTTCTGGCTAGGAATTCCAATACTATATTGAAGAGGAGTGGAGAGAGCAGACACCCTTGTCTTGTTCCTTATTTCAGAGGAAGTATTTCTAACTTTTCACCATTAAGTATAATGCTAGTTGTAGGTTTGTTATATGCAGCCTTTATTATATTGAGGAATGTGCCATGGATTCCTAGTTTCTCCAGAGCTTTCATCATAAAGAGGTAGTGGAGCTTGTCAAATGATTTTTCTGCATCTTGGAGATGATCATGTGGTTCTTGTCCTTGGTCCTATTGATGTGTGTTGAATTACATTAATTGACTGTGTATAATGAATGAGCTTTGCATCCCTGGAATGAATCTTGTTTAATCATAGTGTATGAGTTTTTTGATTAGTTGTTGAAGTTGATTGGCCAGAATTTTATTGAGAAGTTTTTCATGAATGTTCACTAAAGAAATGGGTCTATAGTTCTCTTTCTTTCATGAGTCCTGATCTGGTTTTGGGGTGAGGATTACGCTGACCTCATAGAATGAATTTGGTAGTGATCTTTCACTTTCAATTTCATTAAAGAGTTTGAGGAGTGTCGGAGTGAGTTCTCCTTTGAAGACCTTATAGAATTCAGTTATGAATCCATCTGGTACTGGGCTTTTCTTGGATGGGAGGTCTTTTATTGCCATTTCTATTTCAATATTTGATATGGGTCTATTGGTTTAGATCTTGGTTTCATTTGGATATTGCCCCCCCCCCCTTTTTTTTCTTTTTGGTCAGATTTGCTAAGGTTCTGCCAATTTTGTTAATTGTTTTTTTGGTCCTTGCAAGTTTTGTGGACTCTAAATCAGTTAATTCTGATTTAATTATTTGTTTCCATCCACTCTGTTGGAGTTTGTCTTGTTGCTCATTTTCAAGGAACTTAAGTCCATCATTAAACTGATGATTTGAGATTTCTCCAATTTGTTGATGTAGAAACTCAGAGCTATAAATTTTCCTCTGAATTCTGCCTTTGCTGTGTCCCAGAGGAGCTGGAATTTTATTTGTTCATTTTTATTAATTTTCATGAACAGTTGAATTTCCTTTCCAATCTCTTCAATGACCCAAGTGCTGATTCCACAATGTATTGTTTAGTCTCTGTGAGTTACAGAATTTTCTATGGTGGCTTTTGGTATTGAGCTCTTATTTTATTGCATTGTGGTCTGAAATAATGCAGGGAATAAGTTCAATATTTCTGAATTTGCACAGATTTGCTTTGTGATCTAAAACATGGTATATTTTGGAGAATGTTCCATGTGCTTCCAAGAAGAACATATATTCTGATACTACTGGGTAAAATATTCTGTAGATGTCTGTTAAGTCTAGCTGGTCTATGCAGTTGTTAAGTTCTGAGGTTTCTCTGTTGAGTTTTTGCTGGGTTGATCTATCCAGAGGTGACAGTGGTGTGTTAAAGTCATCAACTAGCAATGTGTTTGGATCTATGTATGATTTTAGGGTAAGTAGTGTTTGTCTGATGAATTTGGGTGCTCTAGCATTTGTTGTATATTTATAATTGTTATATCCTTCTGTAGAAGAGTTCCCTTTATTGCTATAGAATTTATCTTGATTCTTGTTCTGAAATTACAGTTTACATAGTAGTATTTTAATATTTTAATTTTGACTAATTTTTATATGTTCAGAGTTGTTCGTAAGGTTTTCAGTGTTATCTTCAAGTAGATTAGTTCAATAGGATTTTTTACTTCATACATTTTGCTTGTTTATTTATTTTTGTTTTTGGGTCCGGTCGTGGGGCCTGAACTCTGGGCCTGGGCACTCTCCCTCAGCTCTTCCGCTCAAGGCTAGCACTCTACCACTTGAGCCACAGCGCCACTTCTGGCTTTTTTTTTCTGCTTATGTGGTGCTGAGGAATCGAACCCAGGGCCTCAAGCATGCGAGGCAAGTGCTCTACCACTGAGCCATCTTCCCAGCCCTTGCTTGTTTATTTAAACTTAATAAATTTTTCTTGGATAGTCTATGTATAGTTATTCCTAAAAAGAAAGAAAAAATGTTTTCTAATTCCATCTCCTGGAAGCAAATACTGTTAACACTTTAAATATACTTCTTTAGATTTCAAAGTATATTATATATGAACAAATTTTTGTGGTACACAAAGTTTTGTGGTACATACTAACATTCCGTCTATAATTGGGAGCCTAAAATAGGCAGATTTGGTGGGATCAAGGACTTGGGTGGAAATGAGTCCCAGCAGAAAAAGGCTAGAAGCATGGCTTAACAGTAGTGCACCTACCTAGCAAATGAGTTGCCCTGAGATCAAATGTCACTACCACCAGAAATATTACTTTAGCCAGTTTTTCTTGTAAATTATATTATTTAAATTTTTCAGTACTGTAAATAAATGTTTAATTAATACCTCTCTGTTTTTATTATTTCATTACCTAGTTTAGTTAAAAACTGTTTCAGGACTCTTATTATGGAAATTAGGGCAAGGTAGTGTCTCTTTAGGGCGCTGGAATATCTAAAACGCTTCCTCTTGATTTGTGTCACCATCGCAACATCTTTATCCCCCTTCCATCCACCTCTTCCATTGTATTGCTTGATTCTGTGGCATATACAATGAGTTCTTGCCTGCATTATCAGCCCTTCCAGCTTTATTCTTTGATCCCTCTCCCCTGGGCCCCACCCTCTGCTCTTGCAAGTACCTATTTCCTGGTACTTTGTTGTGTTCTGACTTAGTGTTTTTAAACAATTATACTATTTGGGTACTTCATAGGGTATATTACACTTCAGTTAATTCATTTGTAACCCCTTGCTTACCATCTAGTGTGTTTACTTATAGATTTATAGGCAAATTGTGGCTGATACAAATGAGGAAAACCATACAACCTATCTTTCTCTGGGTCTGGCTTACTTTGCTTACTTAATATAATTTTTCCAAGTCTTTCCAATTTCTTACAAATGGTATGATATCATTCTTTCTGATGGTTGAGTAGAATTCTATTGTGTGTGTAAATATATATATATATATATATATATATATATATATATATAAAACATTTTCTTGATCCATTCATCTATTGAGGGTCATATCTGGGCTGATTCCATATCTTGGCTATGGTAAATAATGCTGCAGAAACTGCTATATTAAATGGCAAAATTTTAATACATAAAATAAAATTAAGATGAGTAAGGGAAGGGTGTTAACAGATGGTGGGTGAGAATGTTGAAAGGGGTGACATTGATCAAGATACAATGTATTCATAGACTGCCTTGGTGAATGGCAAATCTTTTGTACAACTATGTGAAGATAATAAAAATACTCAAAAAATAAGATAATAAATTATAACTTAAAAATAAATGAACTTCTTCCTCATTTTGTTACCCTAAGGTTTTGTCACCAAGAAAATGTTAGAAATCAAATATATTTAATCTTGCTGGGCTATCTTCGCTTCCTATACTCAAGTTTGCAATTCAATAGTCTTATTACTGTTTCAGTAAGTGAAGACCAGTCACCTATTAATGAGAAAAGGAAAATGAGTAGGAGATGTATATTTGGAGTAAGAATTAGAAATGAGAGTGTATCTCAGTTCCTAGAACCAACCTGACCTGCACCATTTGAACTAGTGTTATTTTCACTTGCTTCTTGGAATGATGGATATTCAGTGTAAGATATAGTTTGTCTACTCATTTAGTCATATCAGGTAAACTTTTGGATAGGAGTATAGTTTTGTAAAAGCTGAGCACAGGAGAAAAAGAGTCCCGTTAATCCTATATTTTATGAGTAAAGTATGCATCAAAGGTAGAGAAGAAAAGAGGTTAAGACAAGACTTTCTTCCATGATTAAATACCGTGAACTCTATTTTTGTAAAGGACGTACCACCTAAGAGTATCATACACCATACACCACCTTTACTCAGGTTACATTCAACTTTATCCTGCCAATTTAGTTATTTTGTTCAGAGTTCCCTTTTTATTCCTGTTCTACCCTGAACTAAATCATGAAAGCATCAACACAATACAGGTGGGCCACTATTGAGCCCAATCTGGCATCTTCATTGCCCCTCAAAACTCTCAGATTTCCATTTTTTCCTTCATAGAGTATCTGATTATATTATCTGAGGAAAAGATTCACTTCCTGTTATAAAGTATAAATTTATATTTTGAAATTCCTTTTAACTAATATAAAGAGCACTTTTTTTAGAAAATTGCTTAGACTTTGTAAAGTGAAATGGATAAGCTAAAAATCAAAATGATAGTATATAGTCTCTTATTAGACAAAACGTTTGAGTTGCTTGCTCAAGGCAAGCACTCACCACTAGCCACTGCTCCACTTCTCACTTTTTTGGATCGCTAATTGGAGATAAGAATCTCATGGACTTTGCAGCCTGGTCTGGCTTGGAAGGGTAATTCTCAGATACCAACCACCTGAGTAGCTAGAATTATAGGCTTTTTTTCTTGGGCTAGCTTCAAACTGTGATCCTCAAATCTTACCCTCCTGAGTAGCTAGGATTTATTGGAATGAGCCTCTGGTGCCTGGCTTCAGTGTAGCTGTCATCATGCATCTATCTATCTATCTATATCTGTATATCTCCAGACAAATTTAAATGTGCATAGAAATATATGCGTGTACAAATATAAAAATAATAACTTGTTTATTAATTCAATCTGGAACTTTTTTTTAACACAGCTTTATAATGAATTACATATTTGTTTGGAAACCACAAAATCAAATGAAGCTGTGCTCCGACAAAGTGTTGTTAATCTTCAGGATCAGCTATTTCAAAAAGAACAAGAAAATGCAAAATTAAAAGAAAAACTTCAGGAGTCACAAGGAACACTCTATACATTATCTCAGCAAAGTAATTCAAACCACTCAATACAGGTGAGAGACTTTTTCTAAAAATTTTACGTAGCCTTCCTACAATTGACCAAAACAAAATTTAAATAAATTTTCATATTCAGAAATATACATTGTGGAATATTTTAATTTTACTTTTTCTGTAGTTTTTGTAGACCTGAATTATAGATAATACACATTCATATATAAATCCATTTAGGTATATGGGATATAACAAGTATATTTGACTCTTTTTATTTGCATGGTGTACATTTGTGAATTCACCTAAACCTAGACTGAAAATATTTGGAGAAAATCCACATCTATAGTAAACATAAAAATTTCTTTCCTATGATTATTTTCTATGTAATATAGTATAAAAAGTACATAGAGTTCACAATAAATTAGGTATTATAGTCAACCAGTGACTTGAAGTATTCAGGAAGATATACAAAGTTTATATATAAATGTTATGCCATTTTATAAGATATTTAAGCAACTTTAGATTTTAGTATTTGAAAAAGAGGCCTAGAATCAATTTCCTATGTATCTTGAATGATTGCTTTATAATTATTGTGATGAATTATTTGTTTATTGAATAACAGATTAATAATTATGTCTATTTTGATACTCTAGTGAAGTTAATGAAATGCAAAGTATATTTTACACTATCTCTCTTTATGTATTTACCATAATATGTGTTAACCACGTATGGCAAATACATAATGTGATAATACCAAGAGTATTAATTCTGCTACTACATTTACATATAACTTTGAACAGGTCATTTGATTTTAACATTTCCTATGGTAAATAAGGTTCAAAACATTCTTAGGATTTTTAAGCCAATTTTCTCATAAATAGCTCAAGGCTGGTACTCTACCTCTTGAGCCACAGCTTTACTTCTAGCTTTTTGGTGGTTAAAAAAAGAGATTACAGTCTTACAGACTTTTTTGCCTGGGATGGCTTTGAATTGTGATCCTTATATCTCAGTTTCTTTTATACATAGGATTACAAGCATGTGCCACCAATACCTAGTTTTTTGTGTAACAGTTTTAAATCACTGGGAGGCATCATGTTCACAAATAGTAGAGACTATGATGAATAATCTATACACATTAGCTTAAAAAGGACTTATTTTCTCTCATATTGTTAAGTATTTGAAATAAGCCCATGAAAATAGGGCCATCTGATTATAGATTAATGTTTATTGGAGATAAAAAGCCTCTTTATTTATTTATTTTATTGTAAAGATGCTGTTCAGAGTGGTTACACTTACATGATTAATGGGCACATTTCTTGTTGAACATTGTTATCTAATCCTTTGTTGTTCTCCCACTATCCCTTCCCTCCCTTAAGCTCCCTCAACCCTCTGAAGTTCTAAAGTTCATTTCTAACATGATGTCTTGTGAGTATCGTTGTTGCATTAGGTCATCCTTTGTCCTTACAGCATTTTGTTATTCCCCTTCCCTTCCCTTCCCCAAATCAGATAAATGTATATACAAGGTGGCGGGTACCAGAATCAAAGACAGTGATTACCAGGGATAAACCAATGGAAAAAGAAAAATGAAATAAAATAAGAAGAAAGAACTAGATATAAGTACGTTGGCAGCAACCAGGTCAACAACCAAAAAAAAAAGACCAGTTGTTTCTATGTCTTGGAGTTCATTTCAATTAGCATCATTTTGTATGGTTATATGTACATAGCTATTGAGCTATTATGATTCTCTGCCAGGACTATCCTAGACATACACCAATTATCACAAATGAGGGAAACCATACAACCTATGCTTCTTTGGGTCTAGCTTACTTCACTTAATATTATTTTTTCCAAGCCTTTCCATTTCCTTACTAAAGGGGCACTGTCATTCTTCCTGATAAACTTCCATTGTGTATATATACCACATTTTCTTGATCCACTCATCTGTTGAATGGCTATTATCAAGAAAACAAAGAATAACAGTTGCTGGTGGGGATGTAGCCAAAAGAGAAAACTACTATTCTGTTGTTGGGAAGAAAACTAGTTCGACCACTCTGGAAGGCAGCATGGAGGTTCCTCAAAGGACTAAACATAGAACTCCCCTATGATCCAACAATCCTACTCCTGGGCATTTACCCAAATGATCACAAGCTAGGCCACACTGAACCTACCAGCATAACCATGTTCATTGCACCATTATTTACCATAGCTAAGATATGGAACCAATTCAGATGCCTCTCAATAGATGAATGGATCAAGAAAATGTGGTAGATATACACAATGGAAATTTATGCTTCTAAAATTCTCTTTAACAAATGATTCTTCCAAAACTGAATATCCTCATGTAAATACTGAGTATACCATTTCTCCCTTTATGCAAAACTCAATTCAAAGCAAATATGAAGACCTTAATGTAAGACCACAAACTTGGTAGATTGAAAGTAGTAGAGAAATTTACAAAGCTATAAGAAAAAAAAATTTTTAAAAATATATCTTTACGTATGAACAAGAACATTGAATGTTGAATGTAAATGTTTTAAATTTTCCCATGAGCATATATAAACTAAATGAATGGATTTAAAAAATTCACAAGAATCCAAATTATACAGTCTACAAGAAACTTACTTCACTAGTAAAGATACTGATGCACTGAAAGAGATGAAAAAAGGAATGCCATACAAATAGAAACCAACAGTAAGATTGATTACCTTATATCAGATAAAATAATTTTAATCAAAAACTTCTAAGAGATTGAAAGGAGGTCACTATGTAATGATAAAAGTAGCAATTCAACAACAAGAAATAATTATTGCACATATTATATTCATCCAATGCTAAAACATTATATAAATAAACATTATCATATCTAAAAGAAATAGTTGAACTACTTCAGCATTTCATATTCACCAGTGGACTGATGGCTCAGATAGAAGTCTTCGTTGTATAATGTGTATAGAGCAAATGGACCTATCAAATACTTACATGATAGTCAATCCAACAAATAAAGAACACACATTCTTTTCATCATCACAGTTATCATTCTTTTGAATAGACAACACAATAGACCACTAAACAACTCAGCATTTTAAAAGAAAAATTACAATTTTAGCATATCCCTGTCTGACCACCATGGACTAAAACTTTCCTTGAATAATTAATGAATCAATGAAGAAATCAAGGGAGCAACATAAAACTTTCTTGAAACAAATGAAAATGAAAACATTGAAAAATCTCTAAGGTAGAGCAAGAACAGTAAATCTCCAAACATTTGTGATACCATAATGATATAACTCAAGGAAAAGGAAAAACAGGAACAATGAAACAAAAATTAGTAGGAAGAAATAACAAAGATGAGACAAAAAATAAACAAAATAGAGATTAACAGCGCAATATAAAGATCAGTGAAATAGAGTTGATTATTTCAAAAAGAAAAAAAATAGAGAAAAATTTAGCTAGATTAATAAGGAAAAAAAAGACCTAATAAAATTAAATCAGAAATGAAAAAGTAGATGTTATAGTGGATGCCACAGAAATACAAAGGATAATTACAGACTATTATGTGCAATAGTACGTTAGTGGATTGATAAGCCTGGAAGATATAGTTAAATTTATGGATACATGTAACCAAAATTAAGCCATGAATATACCAAAACCCAGGAACAGATCAATAACAGGTAATAAAATCTAGTCAGTAATAAAGAAAAGAACAGGGTGGCTACAATAAATTTTACCTGAATTTTAAGTAATGACAATTTGTCTCAGTGTCTTTTAAAGTTTTGAGAGTAAGCATTATCCTGATACAAAAATGAGATAAAGGCTCAACAACAACAAAAAGGAAAACTGCAATATCTAAGCAGATTATATACCATGATCAAATGATATATATCCTGGGGATGCAAGGATATTTCAACATTAGCAAATCATTTGCAGAATATATGACATAAAATCATGATAAGCACCGTAGATGCACAAAAGACACTTTTCTGATAACAGTCCTCAAAATTAGATAAGAGAATGTGCAGCAAATAAAGTATAGTTTTTTAGTGATTTTTTTTTTAGTTATTGTGTGTGAAATTTGTGGGAGATACCTTTACAGAGGAATGGATAAAGTTCTGCAGTCTGAGTACATAGGTTTATATTGGAGACATAATCACATCTATGTGAACTTGGGCAATTTGTTCAACTTCTTTAACTCGATTTAGATTATCTTTTAAAAAATATATTTTTAAATAGTACCTACCTCAGAAATTTTATCAAAACTATAAGAGGCAATACTTGGTAGGTATTTAAAATAATAAATTATAGATATTAACATTTAATGGAGAAGATACTTTCTTTCCATAGTGTTAGTACATTTTAGATTTCTTTCTCTGTGTTGGTGATGATTTATCTTTTTACTTGTCATAATCCAAATGATTGGTGAGCTGATTCTCTTCCATAGAAAAGGGCAAAACTAATTGATTCATATGAGACTGAAACATATGACTTTTGTTTTTTTAGCATACTGTTCTTAAATAGTTAAATTTTGAATGACTTACTATTTTTGTCTCCAAGTGATTGCTGACCTTTTTCATGAAAAATTACTCTGTTTATTGCTTTGGAGGAATATCTTGCAGTAGAGGGCATGAGGAGAAACTAAGAATAGGTTGACTATATTTACCAGTGAATGTGATACACTCTATGTAGCTAAGAAGGACTGACTACAAGATCAGAGTTGTATATTTCAACTGTTGTCATTTGTTCTATATCTTTTCACAGATTTTGTTCATTCCCTTCACTCCTAATTTGTAGAAAGTTTTTTGTAATGTGGGGTTCCCCTAAGTTCTCATTTTCTTTAAATTTTTGTTCCAAAATATTTCAAATCTCCAAAAGAATGTAGTGTATGGGTAACATAGCAACACACTATGTGCTCCTCCTTAGTATCATCTTATTCTTTTCCCTAATGATCAGTATTCTCTTAGACTTGGTATTTAATTAATTCCTGCATATTGACACTATGTTATTGTAAATAATATATCAAATATTGCCTTTGTTTGAACCTCAAAATAACATTACCTATGCATAT